GGGGGGAGGGGGGGGGGGTGCAAATTTCTGCCCCTAAACACTTCAACACTCCTTTCAGATCGTGTTTCACAAAACAATGTTTTTTCATATATAATAAAAAAATGTTCCTTCTTTTTTATAGTTCTTCATATTTCTTCTGTGCAGCTTGTTGGATGAGTAAAATTTATTCTTCTTTTTTAATAACACCGGTTTTTTGTAAATAATCGACGAGAAGATATAATATCTTTTCTTCCATTTCTAAAATATTCACGTCCTTCTGGTAATTATTAATACCACCACCCAGAGATGGAACCGGTCCACTTTTTTTCAGACCGGTACCGGTGTGGGTCAGGAGAAAGGTAGACCGGACCGGACCGGCCGGTCTACTGGTCTCTACCGGTCCATACCGGTCTACCGGTCTACCGGTCCATACCGGTCAAGGGGGAAACAGCTGATTTTTTTGATTTAAATCAGAAAAAAAATCAAAAAAATCGAAAAAATCAGAATAATCAACAAAAATCAAAAAAATCTTTAATCTCTGTTGTTCAAAACATCAATCAAGGGTGGAGCAGCTGAAATTAGATTTTATTGATTTCATTGATATTTTTGATTTTGTTGATTTTTTGTTTGATTTTTTTGATTTTTTTGATTTTTCTGATTTTTCTGATTTCTGTTTTGATTTTTTTGTTTTCTTTTCGCATTTTTTGATTTAAAATCAGTTGATTTAAATCAAAAAAAAATCAAAAAAATCAGAAAAATCAAAAAATCAAAAAAATCTGATTTTAGCTGTTTTCCCCTTGCTACCGCTCCATACCGGTCTAAACCCGTCTGACTGGTCCAAACCGATCTACCGATAGTGACAGGATACTCATGATACGCTAGTTTATCAGGAAAACCTGACCTATCGATAAAATATCGATCTACAGACAACAGGCTGAAGCTTAAAATGAAATCTTCTTGTGAACTCTCTGGTGCGTTACCTTCATACCTTGAATGCAATCATAGAGCAGGAAAGTGAAAAATATAGATCAGTATAGACCGGTATGGACCGGTATGGACCGGTAGAGACCGATAGACCGGTATGGACCGGTAGACCGGTCGATCCAAAACCCAGACCGGTACCGGACCGGACCTGCCGGTAACCGGTACCGGTTCCATCTCTGCCACCACCAGCTCCTCCTTCTGTTGTTGGAAAAAGCCTATTTAAACATTCACGTTCAGATTGTAAATATTCTGCTAATTCACATAATTTATCTTTCTAAAAATGATAAGATTAGTTAGTTCATTTTCAGATAGGTTTATTTACTTTTAATTGTGACTCGATTAACATATTAACGAAACGACGACCAGTTGCCATTGTGTAACTTTATCACTGCGATCTAAATAAATAAAAATTTATCTATTTATTGTATCATAGAATAGAATATCCGAATTAAAAAGAAAAAGAAGAGAAAGCATGTGTATACACGGCGAAGAGAGAGAGAGAGAAAATAACTGTATGTGTATGTATACCACAGACACAGAGAAAATAATGTGTGTGCATGTGAGTAAGCGAGCGAGCGAGAGAGAGAGAGAATACTATCTTGTTTTCCTCGATAAAACAAACTTCTAGAAGGAATTTACTTTATTTTATTTTAATGTACCTGTTAGTGCATCTGGAAGATATTTGGATAATAATGTAGACCATCAAGATAACGAACTGTTGATGATGTAAATGCATTTGTTATTTCGTCAATTGCATTAACATTTTCTTTTTTACTAAAATAAAAAAAAAGAAAATTTCATTTGAATAAATAAATAAATACAACTGAACAAACCTTGATATAGTTTGATCTAAATCAGATTCTTTTTCAGCTTTAAATCTCACCTGGAGGTCGAGGAATTTTATTGGTTCTTTTTCAATTCTTTCCAGATAAAAATTCTCTGAAAAAATATATACAACAATTTCAAAAAAAAACAAAATATATATATATATATATTTTATAACAAAATATTTACAGATACGGCTTGATTTAATGTACCACCACGTTGAAATAATGAAGTTGTTGCTTCTTGTATAGAATCTCGAGTTTCGGATTTAGTAAATGTAAGCCTAAAAAAAAAACATTAATCAATAATTTCTAACGGATTCGGACAGTATTAATTTCATCAATGAACTAATATGAAAACAATTAGAGATGTACAGGGTAAGCTTTTTTTGGTACTCTCAATGAAAATTTTCCTAATCGATATTAAATAGTTGCATTGAAAATACGAGATACCTTTTCCGGTGTTTTTGTATTCGGTGTAGAATCCATTGAGTCCGGGACCAGTTTGACGGGCTCTACCCTGTACATCTATAAAAACAATTGAACTTCAATTGTTATTTTGTAAAGTTCAGACAATCTTTTTTGTCTACGAACATATTCTCAAGCTTTTTTTTTAAGCAGATGATAACAGAAATCATTCTGGAAAAAAACGGAGGTGCCGAATATAAACTCATGCCATTTATGAAAGAGCAGATCTTGAGCTATCCTCTCATGCATTTACCTTAATTTCGATGATTGACTTTTGTTGCGCAGGCCATAAAATTCGTCGGATCCGAAACTTTCGAACTCGAATCCGATAGGCTCTAGAACTCAGACGATTTTTCGTCCTATTCAGTGATCATACTATCCATTTCAAACAAGGTAGAAAAATTGTTGTCTTTCGATCTAAACAAATCCAACATTGCTAGTTTGTTCCGTTCTCGAGCTTCCGATTTCAATCAATTAATCTGGAATCACCAAGCCATGCTGAGTCAAACGACTGGGACTCTATATGATTTAACACTTTTAACATGTAGAGTTATTATTTGTAAAACTTTGGAAATCCTGAAATAACAATGGGAACTCTAGAAAATCTTTATAACTCTCGAATGGAACAAGTTAGCAATATCGGCTTTCCGTAGATTAAAAAAAGAACAAATTTTCCAAGCTTCTATCAAAAAGTTATTACTCACGACTCTTCTTAGGAAAAAAAGAACAACTCGAATAAATTCTTCTACTATTCAAATTGAACATATTTACCGAGCAGCTGCTTTTTTAGCTAATTCTAATTTTGATGCTGTGTCATTGATAGTAGCTGTATCACTAACTTCTTCATTTTGAGTAGTTGATGCATTTGGTAAGACTGGTGTATCACCTTTAGCTTTAATTGATTTTTTACTTTTAAATAATGATTGAATTTGTTGATCGATCTAAAAACAAAAACAAAAATATTATTTAAAATATTTAAAATTTTTTTAACATACATCTTGACTTTCTTCATCTTCATCCGAATCTCCTAAACCCATAACAACTTTTTGTATTTTTTTTTGTTCATCTTTTAATTGTGTTTCAGATGAATCAAATTTATAACCATGTCCACTAAAACCACCACCAGTTTCAACTTTTTTACCCATAGCTTCCATTTTTTAACATAATTTTCCCATAATAAATTTAATTCTTCTGGTACAGATGTACCTGATGTTTCTAATGCACGTATTATATCACCAGAATATCGTTCTTGTGCTGGTGTTAAAAATGTATATGCATAACCAATTTTTCCTGCACGACCTGTTCGTCCACAACGATGTACATAATATTCATAATGATTTGGACAATCATAATTAACAACAAGAATTAAATCTTTAACATCTAAACCACGTGCAGCAACTGATGTTGCAATCATTAATGACATATCACCACTTTTAAAATCAATTATTGTTGAATCACGATCATATTGATCAATACCACCATGTAGTGACATACATGGATATGAATTTCTCATTAAATTTTTCATTAATTCATCACAATGTTCTTGTTTATCAACAAATACAAGAACAGAACCTTGTGGTTGATATATACCAAGTAATTCAAGTAATTTTAAATATTTTTGATCATCATCAAGAATAAGCTTATAAAATAATGATAGGAAGAAATTTATTTAATTTGTTTTTGTTTTGATACTTACCACATGTTGCATAACATCTTTACAAACAATACTTCGGGTGGGGTGTGGGTGTGGGTGTGGGTATCAGAGGTCCAAGCAGGCCACTAAGCCTGCCTGCCTGTCACAGGCACAGGCCACGATTTTCAGGCCTGGCCTGTGACAGGCAGGCCAGGCCGATCCTTACGACAGGCCAGGCAGGCCACTTAAAATTGCCAGGCCGCCTGGCCTGTCTATGCTTTTTTCAATATGAAAATTTTATTGAATAAACTAAATTTATTAGTAAAAAAGAGATTCATTTGAGGCAGTTTTTAAGGATAAGATTTAAATAGGATGGGTTAGATAAATACTTGAGAATAAATATTGAAGATAAACATAAATAATCAAATCTATTACTAATGTCAAGAGATTATCAAGACAGAGGAGGACCTCGATAGGTGATTAAATCTTTCTCATCGAAAGATTTGGTTGTGTTTTTACGCAAAACCTTTATACAAGTCTTTCGAAAATGATTACTGGTAGAATTAACTGCTACACCTGTTTACA